CAGATGTATAAACAGGCATAGTGACATGAACCTGAGCGGTATCTAACGTCAGCTATTAACAATATGCCATCAACAGCAACCTCTGATTAGTCAATTACAGACCAAAATTTTATTCCTAAATGAATTGATTTTTACTAATTTGTTTGCATCATGGTATCTTAACGGCGAAACGTTGGTGGATTATGTAATAAAATCAATATACGGAGTAATCCTATAAGAAACATGAACACCATGTAAGTAATCTCTCAAAAAAAAATCTTCAATTTTTAAGATTACATTTCATATGCATAACTACGCTAGCAACATTCAGTTCGAAAACATAAACAGACTCTTATGACCATCGATTTAAAAAAAGACGGATAAAAGCTGTAAAAAATAATTTTATAAATAAAGATTTCGTGATCTCGTAAAGCTTATTAATTCATGCTTAAAAAGAAGACAACTGTCGGTTCCAAAAGCTTCATCTATTAATTATACATTTTCTAGGCTTCTAACCGCCTCTATTTCTATATGTGGTAAACACACATTTGAATGAAGGAAAATATGAACGAAGACAATCACGTATTTTACCGCTTGTTTTCCGTAGTCCTGTCATATTCATGTAACTGATTTGCAGCACCTTTAGGCAAATGTGATTCGTAGCTATCTAAATCATGTAAAGCAAGTTTAAATCTATCAATTAATTAAATAGTAATTAGCGAATAACAATCAAATTAATGGCTAATTTATAAAGGTGAATACCTAGGCTGATCCGACCGAAAAACTTGTTGGACAAACGCTCAGTTTTGCGCTACAATTAAGTACAGCATTAAAATAGCTTTTTAGAAATCACCAAACAATAATACATTCATTTCCTTCGCATCTCCAGAAAATGTGCTGCACTAAAACAGAATGTGCTAAAATTAAACTCAAATCATTAAAACGAATAAAACTAACTTTCTGCGCGGAGTTCCTGACACTGTTGAACTTCTTCGTAAAATCTAAAAACAGGCTGGGCATAGTAAATAACGAAACGGTCAAGAATTAAGTGATCAATTAGCAAAATATTTAAAAACATTATAATGTTCACAGTACAGTTGCATCAACTCATTGAAATCTAGTTAACCAGCGAAATAGTTTTCATTAGTTCCCGTGAGTAAGAGATATACAAGTTAATGTATATTTGTGGCATATTTTAAACCTTTAAAATAAATCTGTACCCAAGAATCATATGCTGACTACAAATACAGAAGAAAGTAATTTGGTTTCAGATCCTCAGAGGCGAATTCTGTTAAACTCATTTTTCGGAGTGGAGCTGCTGTTTCTGGAAGCAGATACGGATTCTGGCTTTACGGTTGGCAGTTCGAAACATAAGAAAAAATTAATCTAACACTAATTAGACGTTTTGACGGAACCCACACAAATTTACGTCATGCAATAGTACGTGTTGCGTTTGTCGGGAACATTATCGGAATCGTTTGTATAAGTTTGAGAATCTGTGGTTTGTGAGGTCTGCTGAACACTTGCCATAAGGCATCGGTTACCATATCATAGAAAAAAACTCATTGACTAAAGCGGATTTGACTCTACCTCGTCATTCCATGCTGCATGCTGGCCTCCTCGTCCACATCTGCTGCGTTTCGGCTCCCATGCGAGATGCTTCCGAGATGGAGTAAATTATCTAGGCTCAGCCTGTTTGATTGACAGGTTCAACCTCCGTTCCTTCTTCTCCACATCTACCGAGGATTTTCCTGCGACCGGAAGTGAATAGGTCATTCATTATGTAGCTAGCCATGCTATTTAACCGCTATTAAAGTCGAAGCTTTTGCATTTCTCACTCCTTGGTTAGAACAACTGTTTCCACGCAGTACTGCAACAGTAACAAAAGAATTTCGAGGAAGGAGTAACTCCTTTCTCAGCCAAAATATTCGCCAGGTTTTCAAAAGCATTCGAGGATAAGGTACTCCTCCTATTCTTTTAATTCACCCAGGATAATGCCGCCGATGGTGATTATGGAACTGAGATACTTAAACTGGATAACTTCATGAAGGGTTTCACGACCTTCTTTCACTCGTAGGACAGTTGTGACGGACGGATCCTCATAACTTTGAACTCCGGCAGGTAAGAAATAAGGCGACCTTCGCAGCTGTGTCTCATACGACATCAATCATCAGGTGACCCTGGACAGCACTCTTCGCAGCGCTTACAAGGACAACGCCACCATATATATATATGTGTGTGTGTGTGTGTGTGTGTTCAGATATCCCATAGATTTAAAGATTTTCCACATTGTCGGATGATGCATTGAATCGAATACCATCTTAAAGTCGAAGAAACTGGCATACCAAGGCAATAAAAATCCTCGGCACTTCTTAATGCGTGAAAATCAGGTCCTGGCATAACCACCCCACCCGGAAACCTATATGATTTTGGAGAAGGCCGCAACTGCCCACCTCGACCAGGTGTTCGCAGTAGTGATACTTCAATAACTGAACCAGTCGTCATCTGACCCCGTTTAAACACAATGACAATTACTCCACCTTTCCTGGGAAACGTTCAGAAGTTCGCAGATAATGAAATAATTATATATTTCTGTCCCTTCCCTGGTGATGATCCGCACTAGTTAAGTCGAAATATCTGATCAGAGTGAAATAATTTATATTTTCCTTTCTTTCAGACTACTAACTATCGAATTAAATGATATAACTGCCCTCGAATATCCATATTACGGTATCAGTAAAAGTTTACGAAGCGATTTTATACTATTATACTTCAATTCTGAAAACAATTAAGCAAGCTAAATGTATTTAAAAATAATAACCTCAACAAGCATAAAAATCTGTTGGCAAATCTTTATTATTCTAAGACTCAGACTAGCGTTAGTTTATTATGCGAAGATAAAAAATTCAAAACGCAAAATTGTTTTTATGTTCGTGAAGAAACTTCGCTTACGACTTCCGAAGTTTGTCAACTGAACCTCAGTTGTTTTTAAAGCTAACATCCAAAGTTAACTGCGTATTAGCAAAATAAAATACAGTCTCGATGTTTTGAGGTAGCTTCCACGAATATGGGCGTTCAACACCTTTAGGTGTGTATTCTTTTTCTGATTTCTACAGTGATTAGTCACGTTCAACTTGCCAGTGGCTCTGTTATTGCATGTCTTGATACTCTACTAAACATTACTAATTCTGTTAGTCAAACTCAAACCAAACTCAACAAGACAGTCGTCAAGTGACTCACATAAGGTTTTCGTGCTTTCAGTGATAAGGCCTATTTCACAAAAGGTTTTGTTCAAGTCTGATTGATGTATTTCATTGAATTTTAGCATTCCATGCATCATATCAGATTTTGAAAATGAAGTTCGAAGAATTAATTCGAAACAAAGAATAAATTGTAGCGCTTGTAAGAATTACAATACATCAATCGGCCGTCAATCTGGTCCTACAAAAACGGTCATGAAATGAAGAGGAAATAAGTACAGGAGGAGGTATCAATTCGTTGTCAGTTTGAATAACGGTTAATTGTCTTTATTTCACGATCCACAGTTCAGGGCAATGAACTCCATTTCTTGCCTTGAGCCGTGGACTGTTAAACGAAGACCGTCATATAAAGAGGAATACATTGGCTGTTTTGAAAAGAAATAAGGAATATAAGGGTCAGATCAAAAAACTGCTTAGTTCTGGTTACTAATCGAGCATCACAAAAAATGATCCATAAAATAAGAAAAGCACTCGAAGATTCGTATTATTATATTTATCAGCTAGTCAATTAGTCATTCATGCAACAACCATTTCGTCAAGTACCAACATAAAGAATTTTGACGTCTTTCTAAGTACCGATTTTGAGGTTAACGAATAGTCAAAAATAGTTGCAGGACTTTTCAATGGTCTGAGACTCTAAGATCCGCAGGCACCCAAAGAAACCATCAGATCATTCGTGTCTGCATGCTTTATCTACGACCTAAGCGGCTTTTCAAATTTTTACCAAACCAACTTCCTTGCCAATGACTTTAAGGTTCTAGCACGAAGGCTAGGCATGGTCGCAAGGCAATCTGATGTTCAGTATACTACCTAATTATACATGAGATCGAACAGGTAATATCTGAAGTTTCAAAACGATTCCATTGTCTTCGCTGCAACAAGTGTTCACTGCATAATAAAGTGTGTAGACGGATATCGAACATATCTCATACTAGTTCACCATCTTCAAAAGGTATGCTACGAATAGAAATTTTATTAAACAAACTGTCGCCTAAACGTGAATCCAACTCGAATGCCTAGATTCTGTTTAATAAAATTAATACACGGATACACCTTTGTGACCAGAAAGGACAAATGATCATCGAAAATTAATGATAAACAGTTTGAAGATCTTGGTGATGAAGAAATTTACACTGGTGTAAATAATTGCAGTAAACTCTCTTCTAAATAAGGTTACAGACAATAATTTTAATTCAAACTTTTGTCTGCTAAGAAAGAAACTATTCCTATGCCCACTAATAAAAAACAAAAGCAGCATAAAGTCGAAAATTAGACATGAACATTACTAGCTAATACAAAATTTTCAGATCTTGTAAAACGAAAGATCATTGAAATCCACTGTGTCGGTGTTCCGTGGAATTAGTCGTCTATAATTGAATCTCTACAAATGCAAACTCCATCAAGTGGAAAGAGCTCAGCGTTTTTGCAGTGCAAAAACTATTACGTACTTCTCAATCAATTAATTAGGTTTATTAGCTTGTGATGCAACAGATATTACGAACGCGCCTATAAGCTATGGGGTTAGAGATGTGCACGGCTGAACTGAAACAACAACAAAAAGGATTAAAAAGAGGAAAGAAAACGAACTGAAAAATGCATATGGTCTATTTATTCACAACACAAACAAGTTGGTCAATCAGATGACTGACCAGTACCAACATATCGGCTCGTCTGTCACAGGCCTTCTTCAAACTAGTTAGACCGAGTTAATTTCCGTATTCGGTTCTATGGTAAAAAACTGTTATGACGCTTCTAACAAACCATGAGCTTTTCGGCCATGCTATCGGTTGTTTTTTTTTGGTAACAAGCTTGGCAATATTTGTCCGATCCATGAAGAGTTTACATCTTTTGCTCCGGTTAACATTTTCGAAGGAACTGATAATTAAGGCTTCTTTGATTCGCCTGATGAACCAATTTCTTTCTTTAACGATGCCTGTGAGGCATTGGGGTACGTGACCTGTCTTTGCCACGTTTGGCACGATTCCTCAGGCCTTTTCATATTGATTTTTGACGAAGATTCGTTTCCTTCACCGATTCTTTGTTGCCGACTGACATTTACTTGTGTTGTGTATAAATAATCCGTTTAAATACAATTTTCAATTTTCATTATGATCACCAACGCATGAATAAAATACATAATGAAAAGAAAAACAGTCAGCAAAAAAGTTTTTCCATAAGTTGTGTATGCTGATCTTCGACGTTGCTCCTAACGTGTGCTCCTACCTTTCAGTCTTCGCAAAGATATGTACGAAAACAATTCTGGTGACTTAATGTTTTGAAAGTAAAAGAGCGATCGAGTTATATAACGGGTGTTTATCGTCATTCAGAATTCAGGGACCCAAAGAGACCAGCTGATTCGTGACCTTGGCAGCTACGGATCTGCAGTTAATACCGGTGCTATTTCTGACAATTTTTACTGCCCAGAAGGTCGGCATTAACAAACTGAAGAAGATGAGAGAGCAGGCTTACGTTACGGTGGAATTAATGCAGTTCTGATTCAGATTCCAATGTGTTCAATTCATATTCTGTTTTTTTTTCTGTCCAGTTTTCGAAGCAGTTTGTTCTTTACACATAAGAACAGTAGTTCAAGATTTTCTCAGGTCGTCTAAGGGTTGGGATATATATACAAAAAAGATGCTTTTCTTTATGCTAGTACCTCAAATGAGCTCTTACCCAATAGCATAAAACACATGCGTGGACGTCAATGATGTGCAGTACTAAAGAGCAGGTACTTATTAACTTTCTTGGCGTGCTTCCACATTTCACAACGATGCAGTACTGCAGCATGCCGCTGCATAGGTAATGTTTCAGATGCTATATTATGTCTACATAAATAGCGAGGGTGGTCGATATGTAAATGCATTAGCTTGTGTTCACTCTTTAGGTGCACAAAATTAAATATTTAAGGCACTTGCTGGGGTCAGTATTTAGGGATTAAATATACAGGATTGTGGTAGCGCAGTCAGAAACAGGTCGCATTCGAACTCCAAAGGTGCTGGGTAACGATAACATTTGTCTAAATCACGAATTCCCTCGAGCAAGAAATTTATCCTACATTGCTCAGCGCAACCAACCGAGAAACGAGTCACCGACTTGCGACAAATAGAAACAGCGTGGAATTTCAGTGTGCTCATGCCAGAATGGACAACGTATACAGCCATGCTCTCCGATGCGAGCCCCCTCCCACCTGGCTGCATTTTGCCCTGACCCATTGATAGCTGATTTTTCTATGTAATGATCACAGTTGGGTGTAACCCCCCAATTGCGATTTCGATTTCCTTCCGGTGGGCTTACGCAGCACCAACAGATTCGATCACAAATGAACAACTGCCATTTTGCAGGAGTGATTCAAAAAGACATTTGGGATAACACTACAAACTACATTATCGTGGAAGTGCTGGAGAGAAATATATCCCAAGAGTTAAAAATTTTCATTTATGAGCGTAAATGGCTAAAGTTTTAAATATTAACATATTACAAACATTTACAACGCAGCAAACATTATTAATACCTCCAGTTTCGTTCTGCCAATCATAAGCAAGCATTTCATCATCTTCGTCCTCCAGTTCGTCACTGGAAAAGCTAGAAGCCGTCACTTCATCCGCGCAAGTTGCCTTCGCCATTGCGGACGACAGATGTTACTCTAATACAGCTCAAATAATTTGGCGAGTAGGTGAAGTGCACGACATGAAGTAAAATTCATAAATTATTAATATTAAACCGTTAAGCTGCACTCTACGGTTTCTTCATATCAAATACGTTAAAACCAGCTCTCAAATACCTAATCCTATCTGGAAAGTGCACATATACAGTGTGAAGAGTTAAATCATTAGGTACAAGGGCATCTCTTCTACAAGTTTACGTTTTATGCACAAAGTTACATAACAGGAATGTATAGTACCTCAAATTACGTATATTCAAGTGCATTCCATTAATTGGTTGTACCTTACGCAGTAAAACCATGCTGCTTAAGTCGATAATCAAAGTTTAAATCACATCCGAGAATTCATTTTTTCTGAAAAAAAAACCAGCATTTGAGACGAAATTATGGGTTGTGACAGTCGTCTAACAGAATAACAATAATGATTCAACAGCAACTACTAGTGCCACACCAATTCTACATGAAAATGTTATTTTCAGCAACGATGGCAAGATTGGAAGCAACATCTCAACATTACTGGCATTCATTTCCTATCATTCTCTTAAGCGCCTGTAGAGAGGTAAATTATAACTTATCGGTTGAGTGATTTTTTTCTTCATAAACATGTTTTTCTGTAAATCAAAATGAAAATATTTTGACAGAAATCATTTAATTTATACCTGACGAAAGATGCAAATAAACAAGAAAGCCATTATCTGAAACAAAGAAAGTTGGAATCATTCTTATCCGATTGATCATCATATATGAAACAAAATAAAGACTGAACACCTGCAAACCTTATGCGTGATCCTTGCGGTGGTGTCATAGATATGCGCATTGGACGTAAAGGTGCTGTCAAAGAGAAACAATGAAAATTCATCCAAATGTAAAGTGATTTGATCAATAATCCTGCATAATCATAAATGCTGTTCACTGTTGACACAATGATTGTTAATCCGGCTAAAATGCTTTACTTGTTTGAAACCACCAATATTACTAGTCAGAGAACAGCTGGTGGCTAACAGAGTTGTTATGATAAACTTACTTGACAAAGAATGTTTCGACAGTGGCCATCAAGCTATCTTGGTTACAACGACGTTTTTCTCCATGGAAAATTCTATCTTCATGCAGCTAACCGAGTTGTCGAGCTGCCAGTATATGCACGTCTAACACGAAAATTTATCGGTTGATGGCTGTCTTCAAACACATTACCAAGAATCATATAAACGAAGGGATGGTCAAAAAGTTTGTAAAAATGATTCTTTCGTTAAACAAGTAGCAACAAGCCACAGTGTTTTGTTTTTTTCTTTCATCTTTGTCATCATCATAATCCATGCAAGAATCTGGCTGTTTGAGACTTGTGATGTCTGACTGTTATTTGCAGTTCGTTGTCGAATTTGCCTTATGAGAACGCTATCTTACATAATCCGACTTACATAAAAATTATTTTTATGTTTATGTTGGGCAGAAACTCCGCCATGGCCGGTCCCAAGCCCGGATGAGAAAGGAGGAGGGTTGGAGACCGTGGCAAGTC